CCCAGCAGCGCCCCCTCCGCCGCGCGCACCGGCGCCGACGAGGCCAGCATCTCGTACCAGCCTCCTGGGTCCAGCGCGGGAACTGTGGCCGCCGCCCACAGCGGGGGCGCGGGGAGTCGGGCGCGGAGCCGCAGGCCGAGCATCCCCGGGCGCCACGGGCCACACAGGCGGAACAGCATGTCCAACTCCCTCGCCGGCAGCCGCGCATGCGCCGGCAGCCCGCGTGTCCAGCGCGCGCGCGCCGGCGCCAGGTCGAGCCCCTGACGTCTGCGGCGCGCTAGGAATGACGCAAAAACGGGAAGCGCTGCCTTCCGCACCCCTCCCGCGGCCTCCAGGGACGGGCTTCCCTCGGTGTCTGTAACCGCGGTGTCCTTAACCGCGGCGTCGGCAGTGCAGCCTTCCGTGCGCTCGCCCGCGCAGCCTCGCACGCAGCTCGGAGGTCTCTTGAGGTTGTGTATTTCTTTGTAAATGAAGCAGAGACCTCACTGGAGGGGCCGGCGCGGAGGCATACGCGCGGGAGGCTGAGACAGGAGGTTCGGCCCGCCGGTTCAGAAAGCAACCGCGAGGGCTGGCGGTGGCTCCGGGGCGCTGGCTGAGTCTCGCTGCCGCGGCTCAATCCGGGGCCAGGCGGGGAGCCGGGCCGCTCGGAGATGGCTGGCGTCGGTTCGGGGAAGCCCGGCAGTGCCGGCAGCGACCAGGCGGCTCGGGAGGAGCGGGGAGGCCAGGCGGGAGCGCAGCCACCACCTTCGTCGCTCCGGCGCTGCCCGCTCTGCGGAGCCGGGCTTTCCCTACCCGCGCACCGGTTTCCCAGTAGACGTGTGATGCTGTTTGGCTTGTCCCATCCTCCTTTGTTGGAGGCAGAAGGCCCTGGAGTCCTTTCCATGGACAAGCCATTTCTAAGCGAACCACCTGCTAACAGTTCCGTCCCCACGCACCAAACGCAAACGGAAGTCCAGAGAATGTTGCACCTTCCCGTTTTAAAATTATATAAACTTATATGCTAGAATTTTATTTTTAAGAAAATAAAAAAAACCTACCAATCTACTGTCTGTTGAGTTAGGCACACACCTGTAATCCCAGCAGAAGGCTGAGGCAGGAGGATCTCTGTAAGTTCCAGGCCAGTCTGAACTGCATGGTGAAACCCTGTCCCCCAAAACAGAAACAAAAACAAAAACCAACTGCAATTGTCCGATTTAAATCAGAAATGAATTAAATTTTAAATGGTAATTTCTTTGCCTAAAATCTGTATAGGAAGTGAATTATATGCTTCTACATTCTCTGTGAAGATTGGGCCCTTTTAAAGTAACATTTATCCTAGACCAGTGATGCTGAACCTTTTAGAACTTTCAATGACCATCAGCCCAATGCAGCACACACGCCGTAGGTTCGCCACCACTGGCCGAGGCTGTGAACTTCTAGTATCTTGTACAGAGGGGAGCTGTTTAAAAACCAAAGTAGGGAATGGTGATGCCTGTCTGTAATTTCAATACTGAGGAGGCTGAGGCAGAAGGATCACTGTGAGACCAGACAGGGCTACATAGTGAGTTCAAGACCAACTTACAACTAAAAACAAAAACAAGCCCCAAAATGATCCATATTCACTGCTCAGAATACAGGTCAGTGGTAGAGTGCTTGATCAGCATGTAAGTCCCTGAGTTCAACTCCCAGTAGTGCAAAAATACTTCATATTTATGGTTAAACCAAAATAAAATTTTTGCTGTATATTTTTAAAGTCCACATTTAAAATCGTTGCTCATAAAACCGAAAGTTTTCAAGCTGTTCTTCATACCTCAAACATTTCATTCTGTGGTGCTGTCATCAGCCAAGCTTGGGCCTCCCCAACTGGATACCTAAGTATCACCCAAGTAAAATGTATACAACTTACTTTATGCTGCTTTCACACATATGGATATACATACATATTTTTGTTGTTTTGGAAACGGGAGTCTTGCTGTGTGGCCCAGGCTGGCCTCGAATTCCCTCAGCCTCTCAAGTGCTGGGATAAGAGGCATGCACCACACAGCTGGTTTGGGTACAAACACATTTCTCACTTATCTACTTGTTAGATAATATTGGAAGTACTTGTAATTTAAAGCCCAATACAAAACTGTTACCATGAATTGTCTATACATTGTGAGATCTTTTATCTTTTGAGTTACACAGTACAAAATGCTCATATAAATATTTGAGCAAGCAAAATGAATCATTTTCAAACCTAGTAAGTTTCCAGATGAACTTTTTTGTGGTGCTGGGGATTGAACCCAGGGCCTTGTGCATGCCAAGCAAAAACTCTACCATGGAACCACATCCCCAGCCCATCCAAACTGAACTTGTGCAACACAAAACTTTTGAGACAGGTTCTCACTAGTCCAGGCTAGACTTGAATTCAGTGATCCTCTTGCCTCAGCCTTGAGTGCTGGGATAATAGGCATATGCCACCATGCTTGGGTCATAAAACATTTTTAAAAGATCAGCATTTATAATTCATTTATTATCTTTTAGTTACATCACATGGAGTTCCTTACAAACAGCGACATATAAGCAGTCCTAAATGGTTCATCTTACAATTTTTCCTCTTAAGATGGTGTGAAAGTGATACCCACTCTGTAGAAACCATCCCCTGAAATATTCTTTGGCTAGTAGCAAGCCACAGCTCCCAGTCAGCCCCAAATACAATACCCTGGCTTAGTGGTAAAGCATACTTAAGCCCTAAGCTCCAAACCCAGCACAAAGCCAAGCCCCCATCCCACAACAAAACTGTACAGTGGTGTTGCTGGCCTGTTTGGTAAATGTATTAAATGCCGTTTTTTCGTGAATGTGTGTATGTGTTTATTACTTAGAATTGAACTCTTGACCTTGGCACTGAGCTACATCCTCAGCTTTTTTTGTTCTTAAGAATGGGTCTCCCTAAGTGACAAAATTGTTCAGGCATCCATAGTGCTGGATTATGGAGGTGCACCACCGTACTCCGCTCTTAAGAGGCATTTTTCAATTTAAGATGTTTATTAGGATGTACTAATAGTATTACAGATTAAGAATCTGGATTGGATTTCCTTTCTGCAGTCTCTGAAATTGTTCATACCCATCATGGTGATGCTGAACACAGGAATGGAGTTTGCAATGGACTGCATGTGCGCTCTCAAAATCTGTGTGTTAAGCCAGGTGTGGTGGCTCACGCCTATCATCCCAGCACTTGGGACACTGAGGCAGGAGGGTCACCATGAGTTCAAGGGCAGTCTGACCACATAGCAAGACTCTGTCTCAAAAAGCAAACAACAACAAAAACTGTGTGCTGAAACTCTAATTCCCAGAGTGTTAGTATTTAGGTACAGGGTCTTTAGGAGGTAATAAGGTTATAAGGGTGGACCCCCAGGAATTGGATTACTGTCCTTATAAAACAAAAGAGACGAATATGCCGCAAGTGAAGAAATAGAAAAGCACCTGGAAATCAGCGGAGGCTGTCATCAGGAACTGAACAAGCAAGAATGCTAATGCTACACATCATAGCTTTCAGAACTATGAGAAATCAATTTGTTTAAGCAATCCCAGTCAGTATTTTTGTTACAGCAAACTGAACTAAGGTGCTCAAAATTTGAATAGAGATTATTATGTACAGTAATTCTATGTACAGAATTAGATTTTACATTTCCCAACTATACCTTCTAAAATAGTAAAAAAAAACACAACCAAAAACCAGATGTGGTGGCACATGCCTGTAATCTCAGCACCTGGAAGGCTGAGGCAGGAAGATCACCACAAATTCTAGGCCAGCCTGGAGAGACCTCTCAAAACAACAAAACCTTGTAAATTATTTCTATGAGCAGTTTTTTAAAGGCACCCCTTTAAATCAATTGTTTTTTGTTTTTTGGGTTTTTTTGAGATAGGGTCTTGCTGTGTAGCTGAGCTTGAATTATTTAGCTCAGGCTGGCCTCCAGCTCATGGCAATCCTCCTGCCTCAGCCTCCCAAGTACTGGGATTACAGGCATGTGCCACCAAGCCGTCATTTTTTTCTATTACTTTAAAGATCTATTTTTCAAATTAAAGTTTTCTAATGTAGAATTAGGTCTTTCCCCTTTATATTGAAAAGCATCCTGTTATGTCATTTTCTCACTGATTTTTAAGTATTTAACATGCAAAGTTTTATTTTCAAAGTGTGAATTCATTTCAAGGTGGAAGTCTTAACATGAAACCTCTGACAACTATTAGTCCTGTACTCATTACGTTATAAAAGAATTATATCAATGCTATAGTGGAACTTTTATATTCACTTACCCAAAATTCAAATGATAGTACTTCTGCAATCCATGTGTGCAATCTAAGTAGTGGCATTAAATCATTAATGATACGCTTGCCTTCAATTCCACACACCTGAGTTAATCAACAGCTGTGACTTGTGTAAGCAAGCATTTATCACTGAGATGTGTTTTTCATGAACATACAGAATTTGCCCAGCATAACCTAAATACACCAAACATTAATTCTTTTTTTTTTTTTTTTTGGTCTTTTTGAGACAGGGTCTTGGTATAAAGTTCAGGCTGGCCTTGAACTCACTTTGTAGCCCAGGCAGGTCTCGAACTCACAACGATCCTCCTGCCTCAGCTGTAACCCCCTAGTGCTGGGATTGCAGGTGTGCACCACCACACCTGGCTCAAACATGAATTCTGATTCTAAAATCTCTTATATAAAAAATAAGTTCTGGCACACCTTGATGGTTGGTTATGAGTGTTTATGAAAAACATCAAAGTGAAAACAGATCAAATCAATTAGAGGATCTTGAATCAATTAGTTTTGCAATCTTGAGTTTCTCAGTTTTGTCTAATTTGTACTGTTTTACATGAGAATATATGGCACACACCTGTAATCCCAGCACTTGGGAGGCTAAGGCCAGCTTGGGCTACATAAGCGAGATCAAGGCCAGGCTGCACTATTCAACAAGACCCTGTCTCAAAAGCAAAAACAAAACAAAACCCTAAAGAGAGTACAGTGTTGGAAAATGATTTTTATGAAATAGGTAAATAATCTGAGACAAAAGACAAAATACTATTTTTTGAACAGCATTAACATTCTATATACCTTATTTCCTCAGAAAACAAAAATGAGTAAAAAAATTTTTCCTTTACTAATAAAATAAAATTGATTTTACATTACAGTAATGAGAAACAGACATTTCAAAATCAGCTGTGTTGTTTTTTGGAATCAGGGTCTATGTGGTTCAGGCTGGCACTGAACATCGTAGCGATCCTCCAGCCTCACCCTGGGATGACACACCTGTGCCACTACCCTCAGCTCAGTTATGTTTAACTGTATGTTGAGAAGGCATGAAATGGAGATTTGTTGGAAAAGGTAAACAAAATGATCTCAAATGTTGATATAAATAGACTGTACTATCACTGGGATACTACTTTGGGATTTAAGGTGTGAACTAACCCAAGTATTATTTCTCAGAACTAAATGACTTCTTAAATGAATGACAGTAAATAAACACATCATGTTGTCCACATATACGTACCACATTCTTTGCAAAGGGGGGAAAAAGGACCTGCATGGTCTAAAAGATATGTTTTTTTTATTGTTCAAATAATAATGCACTGAATTACATATGAAATATAAAAAATGTATTTGAAAAATGTTCCTAGGACAGACTTCTAAAACCATATTTTACTTCACAAGTCTGATACCAAAAGGTCAATCTAGAGCATTTCAATCTGCATTCCCTGCCCAACAGCTCCACACGCCAAGAAAATATAGGTGCTCTCCCTATTGTTCTCTCAGTAAAAGAGCTCACACTAAGAAATTCTGTTTAGTGAAACAACACAACTCATGTGTTGTAATAAATGTTGAGCAATATTTGTTCTTCAGAAGGATTATCTTACGTAGAAATGAACCTAGTTAACAAAAAACAACTAAGCAAAAAACAGAATACTGGCAAGTTTCTGTTGAGTAATATCACACCCTTTTCTAGTGCACATATTCTTAGATACATTACTGTTTTATTATTTCAAGTGAATGGAATATATAAATCCCAATGAATAAAATGGAGATTTTATATTGTAACTGTATACTCATATATCTCCAGTAATCTCTGTAATGACAAATGCAAACTTTATTACTTGGTCCAAGTAAGGTGTTGATCCTTTTCACTGATACATAAGTATGGAGGAGCATGAAGCCTTCTGAATTGAAGAAAAGAAAATACTCTCAGTGAATTACTGAAAATTGAAATTTTATGTTGACTCTTAATGACTGTAAAGCCAATGTTAAGAATCAGTATTATCCAATATAAAATACTGCACTCAATAGTAATAATAAACAGTATATTAAGAGCTTGCTGATGCTGACTGGGAATAGTAGTGGCCTTTTACAGTCTCAAAAAGTCTGAACATTTTATCGTTTGAAGAAACTACTGGTGATGAAGATATTCCATCTCTTTGGAGGAATCATTACAGTGAACATCTTTACGGAATTTTTTCAACTTGGGAATTTTATACTGGAATTACAGTGCCAAAGTAAGAGAAGAAGAAAGTGAAGAGAGGAAGAAGTGTGTATTCTACAAGGGGGAAAAGGTAATAAAAAGATAGGGAAAAGTAAGAAATTTCCTCTGTAAGCTACAAACAAACCCGAGGGAGAGCTGGGTGTTTTAAGTCAACATAAGGAAACAAGCACTGATAATGCCCATCACACTTTATACTTAAATTACACAAGTAGAAAAGTGATGCTTATTAATAGTTTAATGTATGAAGGAAACATCCAGATTTCTGAATATGAAGGTACATATCTCACATTAATTTAAGTCTACATAAAGTAGAGCCTCTATACTGACATATTGAAATTTACTTTCTGCTTAGCCTTTTCTGTTATGTAAACAATTGTACATTTATTTGCCATTCTAAAACCTCAGGATCAAGTTTACATAATTTTGCTAAATTTCCGTGTTTGCTCAGAAGCAGTTTACAGTACTAAAACCAACCAGCCAAAAAACAGCTTCAACAGAAAGTTATGTCGAAAGGGGAAGAGGGAAAGAAAAAAAGAAAAATGATAAGAAAAAATGCTAACTAAGGTAAAACGACTGATGATGGGGAGTGGGCAGTCACAAATGTTCACAGAAAATAGGTCAGTTAGTAAGTTCTTCTGCAAAAAGCCTACACACTTCAGTCAAGCACATCAGTAGAATGATTTGGGAGCATAATTGTTTTTCTGGCCACTTGTGATTTCCTCTGCATGAAAAGGAATCTGCAGGCTAACAAGCTCATCCTCATCAGCCCAGCTGGTTCATATGCACGCTGTTCATGTGAGGTGCCCAGGGTCCAGTCCACACCTAGGAATATACAGAACATGGATCTTATTAAATATGTATTTGATTGAAACTCCTAACTAATGAAGTGCTCTCAGTATCTAGACTTAATCATAGAACACTCAGTATCACTCAGTTTGAACATACTAGCAAATAAAACCATGTTAAATTGCTTTTTAAAAATTTTGTTTTGCAGTGCTAGAAATCAAACCTAGGGCCTTCTGCATGGTAGGCAAGTGCTCTCCACTAGGTGGTGTACACCCTCACATGTTTATCTGTTGTTTTCATAGGGCTCTTACTGCTTGGGCAGCAGGATCTATTTTATCATCATCTTTTTAAAAAATCATTACCTATGTACATACAGATTTATGGTGTGTAAGGAGAATGAGTCAGATATTAAACATGCATCAATACAAGCTAAAATATACAAATATACAACCATTTCTATAAATTTTCAGTTAATTACATATAGTTTTGATATTTACAGTACTGTTAACAGATAACCTCTGGATGGCCACTTTCCTAGCACTACTAATTTTTGATGTCAGTATAGCTTGGCATGGTAGTGCACACCTGTAATCCCAGCATTCAGTAGGCTGAGGCAAGAGGATTGCTGTGAGTTCAACGCTAGCCTGAACTACACAAGATCCTGTCTCAAAAAAACCAAAACAGAAAACATAAAAAAAAATACAAAACTCAGCAACAACAAATTAATAAATTTAAAACATTTCTAGGAAGTCAGTATAAAATTTTTTTATATGAAAATAATTTTGTACCTTATCATCTTTTACCTGTCATCTGCTACCCAACGGTGTACATAAGTTCCATAGCTTTAGCCTCAAACCACTATCCTTAGTATCATTCCCACACACTTCTGTTATATTTCAGTCACATTACATCTTTCTCATTTTCCTCAACTGGCCATACACTCCGATCTCTCTTGCTGTCTGTTCACCTGTATCTTACTTCATAAAACTGAGTGTTTATTTGCTAGATAATCAATCGTACCGTTTGAGGACCACTGTTTTCTGTGGAACTTGAAACCATCTTTATCAGTGAGTTCCAAGAAGGGTCTGCAGCATGAGGGCCATTGAATATGGGTCCCCCAGGACCATCAGGAATAGGTGCCACTGGAGGGATCATTGCATTCCCATACACAGAAAAGGGCATACCCTTAATGAAAGGAGAAATAACATTCAAGTTACTGTTTACTTTTCTCAATAGAATCAATATCCTTAAGACAGATATTTAAAGAAAAATTTAAAAAGTAAACAAATCAGAAAATAAAACAAACTTATATTTAGCCAAGTTAAAGTGGCAGATTACTGTTTTCCCATCACTCCAAAGACTGAGGCAGGAGGTCAACCTGGACTACCTAGTGAAACTCTTGTCTCAAAACAAAATAAAACAAAAAAAAATACAAAACCCAGCAACAACAAATATGATAAATTCATAACTTTTCTGGGAATGTGTAAATTATCTAGGAAATCTAAAAATTATTTATTATATGGGTTTAACATTATTTAGATTTACTATGAGATTATTAAGCCTACTAGCTTCAAAATATTTGTCAAAAACAGTCCTCTAAATAACTGAGATAAAATTAAGACTTACAAATTATATATGCTTCAACTAGATTTTGACCTGTATTTGCAGCTCAATCCCCTGCATCATTTTATACATACTCATCTACTGGGAAATGAAAGTTCAGAGAAAAACATTTTGAAACAATGAAGATGCTTGTTCAAATCACCATTACCCCAACTTTAGGAAAGTCCATATATCCTGCAGGAACATGCTGATGGAATGTACCAGAAGGAGTTACGATTCCTGTACTATCTCTCTCCATGGCTTGATGCTGTGAAAATACTCCTGGATCAGACATTGGCCTGTGAATCATAGGGTTTCCCATCCCAGGGTTACACCAGTCTACTTTGTCTAAGGGAAAAGAAAGGCAGAGACAAAAATCTGTTATAGTCTTTTTTTTAAAAACAAAGAATTGGTAATATTTTAACAAAGAGCAGAAAATGAAATGTTTTATATCTAACAATTTCCACATTAAACTGAATTCTTTTAAAATATTATGTTTATATATATTTACAGCAATATTTCCTTGTTTACAGGTAGTAATATAATACAGCCTGATGAAATAACCACTTAAGTGTTATAAAAAAAGTTAAAACATAAAAACCTCAAAAAATGGGATATATATGATAAAATGGAACTTAACATGTGTCTTCATTAGCCTGTTTTCAGCCAGCAATGATAAATGCAACATGAGAAATCACATGGGAACAGAACTCCAAAAACAGTGCAAGCGATAGGAACACAGGCCTTCTAACATGACTGTGAAAGCAATGCTGCCTACACCAGAGTGAAATACAAATAACACCTAGCGAGCGAGCAGGCAACACACCATACCTTGACTGCCACTGATCCCTTCAAAGGACCAGATGCCACTGTGCCCTACGGACGTGGACAAATTGCTCCCAATCACAGATGGGGCTGAAGTTCCCGTTTGCCTAATTCGTGCAGAACGTTCTGTCCCAATTGGAACCGGAACTTTTCTGTCCTGAGAGATGTTGCTAGGCTTCTCCGACCCTAAAGGTACAGATGGCGGAGCAGGAGACGGAGCACGAACCCCAGAGGATACTGACTGCGCAGAAGAATCTGGAGAAGAGACATTTTGACACAGAATATGGGTTATCTGTAGACATAATTCTGTAAAACCAAATTTTAAATTGTGAAGACATCTTAAATACACATTTTCTGAAGAAAATAACGTTTAAGTAACACATTTTGCTTTTTAAAATTTGGTTAAAAGTTCCATGACTTCATGGTAGAATATGAAGGTGTCAATGTTACAAAGCAGTGAATGATTCACATAATAAACCATTAAACTAATTAATGTTTAGATAAGTTAATCCTTGACAGTCAAACGTAACACCAAAGCAATGACAAGACAGTGTTTCAGCAGAAAAACTACAACAATAAGATTGAGGTAGGAAGAAAAAAAAATCACTATATGGCCATTTCCAAACTATATTATTTGTGAACATTTACTTTTTGGGTATGTTATGATGAAAAACAAAGCGATTCAGGTATCAAATTTGGAAGGTCTAGGTTAAGGAAAAAAATAAGTTTATTAAAATGACGCTGTACAGAAACATATATGCTGAAAAAATACTAATAGGAAGCTATGCTTCACTGTGGTGATAACAATCTAAACTTTATCAAAACCAGGTACGGATTTTAATAGAGTCAATTTTGAATGTTGCTGGTCCTGGTGGTGCACTCAGGAGGCTGAGGCAGAAGGATCACTTGGCGTTTGAGGCCAGCCCAGGCTACATAGTGAGACCCTGTCTCAAAATTTAAAAAAATAAACTTTTTTTGAGAATGTTAACTAGAGATTCAATCTCTTTACACACTACTGAGAAAAAAAAACAGTAAAAATTGTGCTTCATGTGAAAAAAATCAACTGTTAAGCACAAATAACATTAAACAAGGAGCTAAAAGTAAAAATCAAAAGTGTTTACCTTCAGACCCAAAATTTACTCATAACTACTTGACAAGTAGTTATGAGGCAAGCATTAGTATTTTTCCATTTACTACTTCTTATTTTTTTTATTCCCCAGACAGGGCCTCACTATGTACTTCATGCTATCCTTAAACTTGCTATGCAGCCCAAGCTGGGCTCAAATTTGCAGTGATCTTCCTGCCTCAGCCTCCTGTGTGCTAGGATCACAGGTGTGTGCCATTTTGCCCAGCTTCTATGTAAGTGTTTATACATTTAGGTTTTCTCTGTGTGTATGTGTGTATGTAAATTGATACAGATTTCACAATTCTATCTACACACACACACACACACACACACACCTGTAACACGAAAGCATAGTGTTTCTATGCTTTCCCAAGTATAAAAGTGTTTTCCCAAGGTACTTTTTAGGGCATCTGGAAGACAAAGAAAATGCAGTTATGCTCTTTAGCTACAACGTATGTTTTGCTTTGTTTTGGGGTGGTGCTGGAGGGCAAATCCAAGGCCTTACTTTACTAAGCACATACTGTGCCACTGAGCTCCATTCCAGCCACCTGTATGCTTCATTTCCTTTTCCAGAGATGGAATCGAAGCCATGGCTTCCAGCACAGAGGTTGGTGCTCTACTGATGTGTTACACTTCTACTCTTCTGCCTTTTATAAGATTTTTGATAAATATTTTAAAATTATTTAAAAAATCAGAGTTGGTAAGCATTTACTAGAGCTTACAGGCCTGTTTTATTAAATTGATACCACCTCTTGAGTTGTAGTGACTATGAACTTAAAACAATGAATACGAAAGTATTTTATAAATTATAATTAGGATATTAATGTTATTGGTGACCAAAAATATTGAAAAAAAACTGGCACTGATGGCACAGGCCTGTAATCTCAAATACTCTGAGGCTGAGACAGAAGGGTTTCAAGTTTGAGGCCCATCTGGTAACTTAGATTCCTATCTCAAAATTTTAAAAAGGGCTGGGGATGTAGCTCAATGGCAGAATACCTGTTTACCACACAGGAGGTCCTGGGCTCAATCCTTAGTACCACAAAACAAAAACAAACTAAAAAAACCCATGAAACAGGTTTGTTAACTCTACTGAAAATTAAAATCCATCTGCTATAGTTCTAGATCCATTAGTATTACCTGATACATTTACTTTTAACCATCCACAAAGGAATGGCAAAGCCACAGGCATGTGTTTAAAACATTATAAATATTTTAAAACCTCATGGCTTTTCACCTTAAAACTCTATGGCTCTGAAAGGCTAGTCTGGGAAGATGTAAGTGGCAGCAGCACAAGTTTTCATTCTCTATTCTCCCTCCATAAAAACAAAGCCACAAAACTGGCAATAAAAATCCATGGATAAAATCAGTAACAAAACAGAAAACAGCTGGGCATGGTAGCACATGCCTCTAATCCAAGCAGCCTGGGAGGCTGAGGCAGGAGGATTACAAGTTTGATTCCAGAAGGGGCAATTTCATGGGTTAGTGAGACACTGTCTCAAAAAATAAAAAAGGATGGGATGTAGGTCAGTATGAAGCTAGGCTTTCAATTTTGTACCACAAAACAAAAAACCTAACAGACAAGGTGTACAGATGAACCCAAAGATAAAAGTGAATGAGGAGAAATCAGCAACTGCTGTATGTAACAGTCTTTTTTTTTTTTTTTTTTTTTGGTTTTTCTCCGGTACCGGGAACCGAACTCACGACGTTGCGCTTGCCAGGCAGGCGCTTTTGCCGCTGAGCTAAATCCCCAGCCCCTGTATGTAACAGTCTTGTCAGGTACGGCAGTGCACACTTGTAATCCAAGCACTCGGGAGTCTGAGGCAAGAGGACTGTCATGAGTTCAAGGCCAGCGACTACACAGTGAGACCCTGTCTCTAAATAACTAAGACAGTCTTGTGGTATTATATTCTGTATGGAAGGAAACAGAATTCTCAGACCTAGGTACAGAAGAAAAGAAGACTCTGAAGATACTTCTAGGCACTCAATGGTTAAAAGGGCTTGCAAATCTGAGAACAGCAGGTGCAATTGGAAAGTGTGAAGAAATTTGGAGAACTACCTGTTGAAGCTTCCTACCTGGACAAAGTCCCACAAAAATAAAAACTTTTGGAGGCAGGCATGGTGGCTCATGCTTGTAATCCCAGCACTCAGGAGACTGAGCCAGAAGGCTCGCCATGAATTCTAGACCAGCATGGGCAAAAGAGTGAGCTCAAGACCAGCCTGAACTACATAAACAGGACCTGCGTCAAAAAAAACCAAGACCAAGAAAGGGACAACAAAAGCAAAGCAAAAAGAAATATCCAATGCCAGGAACAGTGACACATGCCTGTAATCTCAGTACTGACGAGGGCAGAGTGGGAGGATCAAAAATTCAAATTCTACCTGGGTAACCTAGTGAGATGCTGTCCCAAAATAAAAAAAAAAAACACAGCTGAGGATGTAACTCACTGGTAGACTGTGCACTGGTTCAATGTCCAGTTCTGTCAGATAGGAAGAGGGGAACAGGAAGAAGAGGAAGAGCAAAAATGAAATCAAAAAACAAAGTCAAAGCAGATGTAGCTCACTGGAACTGCACTACCCCAGCGAGCCTAAGGCCCTGGGTTCAATCCCAAGCATAAAAACAAAACAAAACAAAACAGAGTAAATGAGGAAGGAGAGGAAAAGAGGAAGGGGGGGGGGAGAGAGAGAGAGAGAGAGAGAGAGAGAGAGAGAGAGAGATTGGTAAATAGTTCAACAAAGCTACAAATTTAATAAAATTTTTGCATACTTCCAAAAACAACAAAAGAGAATTCTAGAGCCTTTGGCTGAGGAAGATATTTTGATCTACTTATTCCTTCTAAAAATTCACAAGAGCTGGGAATTGTGGCACATGCCTATAATCCCAGTACCCGGGAGGGTAAGGCAGGAGAAGCACTGTAAGTTGAAGGGCAGTCTGGGCGACATAACTTAGGAAAGTATTATATGTAAAGGATTATTTCAGAAATGGCTGAATAAAAATAGGACACAAGAATATATAAACATATGAGAAAAACTTTCCAAGTTTTTTTTTAAAGTTACTTACATCTCTGAAAAACAACTCAGAACAATTAGCACAAAGACAGAGAGAAGGAGGGCAGGATGGCAAAGATGAACAAGCCTTACTTTCCCCTATTTCTGCCCCTGGGGGTCTGCCCTAAACTCTATGTTGGATCTGGTTTCCCTTTCTTTTCCTGTTTCCTTCTAAAACCAAATGCAAAGAAAAGTAACCCTTTGTATGCTGTGTAAATGCTTCCTGCTCACCTAATTGAAGAGATTTGCCTTCCTCACAGATCCCCATCCCTACCTAAGCAGCCACAGTCTCCACCATTCCTGGATCAGAGTCTGTTTTCTGCTTCCTTCCTGCAGGCCTACTGGCCTAAGCACAGGCATCGGACCTAAGCATAGCCTACTGTAGGCTACACAGCAGCTGAGCCAATCACATTCCTCATACAAGGAACAGCTGATGAACACAGAACTAGCAACAATACAGAAGATGAGATAATGAAGCAGCCCAGGTGTAAGAGCAAAACAGGAGAGACTCACAAGAAACATCATGAATGAGAGGTCATATATCCCCTAAGAGACAAAGACGGAGAGGAGAAAAAGCTGCCACCGAGTCCTGGCTGGTTCTAAAGATGTTTTTACACACCTGCACTGCACGTACGCTTCCAGTCCTGGGGACTGAACCCAGGGCTTCTGAACTGAGCTACATCCCTCACACCATTTAAAAATTTAGAGAGTCTTGCCAAATGACTAAATTGACCAGGCTAGGCTCAAACTTCTGCCTCTACCTCCAGCCAGCTTTATAGCACATAGTATCTTCCTTGACATTTCTTAGACTTAGATGATGCTACATTCCTTGCCAGGAAAAGAACCTAATTAAAATAATTTTTCACTTCTACATAAATTCTTCAATTAGGGAAAAATAAAGCAGGGCTGGGTTGTAGCTTAGTGGTACAATGCTTGCCTAGTGTGTGAGGTCCTGGGTCCAATCCTCAGTACAGCAAGTAAAAAAAAAAAAAAAAAGGAATTCAGAGTCATGTTACTGTAAAATATAGTATTTTACATTGCTACATTACAGGGAAAAAACAGGTTTCAGAGGATGGGGTAGATCTAGGTTTTGAGAGACCTTAAGCTTATATAGTTTGGCAGAATTGACTTTAGAAAAGATTGCAAAATTACAAATATAAAATCATGTTTAGGACCTTAAAAGGGGATGAGTGCAAATGAGGCACCCCTGCAGCTAAGCATCGCTGACATTATGGTAAATCCACCTCAATTTAGAAAGGAAACTGGTCCTAGTTAGTATGGAAATAGTTGTATGACTACAAATTTTAAAAAGTGCCCTGTGGGAAAATTACACTGTACTTTCTTCCTTTTGTTTCACTGCTGGGGACTGAACCCTGAGCCTTTCCACTGAGCTATATATATCCCCAATCTGTTCTTAAATTTTGAGAGAGGGTCTCGCTAAATTCCTAGGTTTCTTTGGGGAGACGGGCCCCTCTATATTCCCCCAGTTGGCCCTGAACTCTTGATCCTCTTGCCTTTAGCCTCCCAAGTACTTGGAATTACAGGTGTTTATCACAGCAGCACGCTGAACCCTTCTGTTCTCAAAGAAACACAGGAGGCTGGGATATACCGCTTTACCTCATTGGCAAAACAGTAGGCATCAGGCCCTAGATTTGATCCTCAGCACCAAAAACCATTCTGGAAATTCTTCATTTGAAATTACACATATAGCACTTACCACTGGATGCTGATGAACACGGAGTCAACAAACTGAGCGGAGAAAAATGTTGTCTATTAAAGTTAGCAGCTGCAGGTGCTCCTCCAAGGGGTGCTACAGGTCCATACATCTGACCTCCTGAAAGGTTTGAGGCAAAGTTTCCCAAATGTGTAGAAGAAGGTGTTACAGAACCATATGGCGAGTCCATATTGACAATACCTACAATGTAGAAGACAATCATAACTTGTAAGAGTTACCTAGAGACACAATTAGACAAAACTAGTATTCTAAGAGGTCCCCAATATATTCCAAATTATTAAAAAAAATCTTGCCAGGTGTGGTGGTGCACACCAGTAATCCAAGCACTCAAGAGGCTGAGGTGGGAGGATCAACATGAGCTGTAGGCCACCATGGCCTACAAAGTGCATCCAGGCAAGCCTGAACTACCTAGAGAGACCCTGTCTTAAAATAAAAAAACAAATAAAAAAAACCACTTGTTTATTTCTTTCAGTCCATTCATTTGTCATTTCTTCATTTTATAAAGACAACCATAAGAAGGAAGGGAGAAAGAAAAAAAGAATACAAGGGGAAAAATGCAAACAAAGCTTTTGTAAATAAGGAGCGGGAAGAAGGGCTGAAAGGATGGGGGGAAGGGGAATGGGAAAAAAAGCAGCAAGATATATTACGTACAGGTACAGATTTCCTATGATGAATGTGATAGTCACGTATAGCTATCATGTACCAAAAAAAAAAATACGTGGAGATGGGTAAAAAATAAAGACAACCATAAAAAGGAAAACTTAAGTAAAATATTTTATACTTAATTTTAATATTTGGTCTTTCATGAGCAATTATAGACTACATGTAGCTATATTATCAATATTTAGACCTTAAATAGGCCTAAGGCCAAGAAGTTGTATAAAAATTTTATTCTTAAATATTTATAGGAGCCACGCATGGTGGCGTATGCGTACAATTCAAGAGGTGAGCCAGGAGGATCACACGTTTGCATTCAGCCAATGCACTTTGGCAGGAGACTCTCTAAAAATTTTAAAAAAATTTTAAAAAATGGTTGGGAATATAGCTCAGTGAAAAGACCCTGGGTTCAACCCCCCAGTACTGGGAAAAGAACAAAAAAAACAAAAAACAAAAACTTCAAAATCCCCAGAACCTATAGGGGAAAAGAAACAGTCTCTATAAAGGCGTCTGTGGTAAAAAAATGTATTCCCACTTTTAACTAAGCAGCCTTTCCGTAGGTAACAAAGTAGCAATCTGTCACCTATTAATACAATGCAGTACAAAATTTCAGCTATCATATATATTATCCTCTTTGCAGAAATGGCATAAAGGATGTATTTGGGAAGTGAGTACCAAGAAGATTAACTCCGTTTTTCTCGAGTGTAGTAGCAGTGGTATACCTGTGAAGGCAAACATTTCTGTTTTGAGAAGATGCATGACAAAGTATTCAGGAGGGGCTGGGGATTTAGCTCAGTGGCACAGCGCCTGTCTGGCAAGTGCAAGGTCGTGAGTTCAATTCCCGGTACTGGAGAAAAACAAAAACAAAAAAAACCAAAACAACAAAGTATTCAGGAGTAAAGTACCAATGTTTGAAACCCACCTTGTCATAATTTGAGGAAAGGTAGAGAATAAAAGAAAACAGAGGTTAGGGGCTGAAAGAGGGGGGATGAAGGAAGAAAGAAATATAAGAGAGAGGAAAGATAAAAGGCAACAGGAAGGAAAGAAAGCAGAGGAGAGCGTGAGGGCTTGAAAAGTTTGTTTTTTCGGTACTGAGGATCAAACCCACGGCCTTTGCACTGAGGTACATCCCACTCTTCAAGAAAATTCTTTATTTTATTTTATTTTATTTATTTATTTGGTACTGGGAATCAAACTCATGATCTCAGGATTGCCAGGCAAGCGCTTACGCTGCTGAGCTACATCCCCAGCCCAAATACTTTATTTTAGGCAGAGTTTTACCATGTTGCTAAACTGCCTAGGCTGGGCTCCAATTTGTGATCCTCCTGCCTAACACCTCAGCCTTGCAAGGTGCTAGAGTTACAGGTGTATGCCACCATACCTGGCTTGAAAAGATATTAACGAGTGGATAATACAAAGCAAAAATTTTATGTTGTTTCTTAAATTTTTATGCAATTTAACCATTTTTCAAAAAAACCCTATAAAAACAGTTGAGTCTAAAATATAAAGGGTGAAGTTATCTATATAACAAAAGTTAGTAAGCAAATGAAAATATAGAGAAATCAGAAAAATATGTATGGAACACAAAATGAATCAGGAAAAAGTAAGAGTAAAAATTAGGATCTGAGAGGTTTAGGACGAAGTATGAAGTGCTTTCTGTGTAATGAAAGGAAGGATGAGATGAATGCTAAATGACTTGCATTTAGCAATTTTCTCTTTTAATAAACTCTTAATGTTCAACTTCAATGCTAATTCTGAATCTAATCAGTTAACTCCTTCCACTATCCTCCTTGGCTTTTATAAAACTAGTTTTTGATTTTTTATCTTTTCTCAAAATAAAAGCTATTTTTTTCTGAATCTTCATTTTGGTCTTTCTGAATTTATCAACGAAATATCACATTTTTGGAAACAGTATTTTGACTAAATTCTCACTATCACAAAAATGAAATTTAAAAGCACTTTCTACATCCTGGGATATGACAACCTTTAATAACTAAAAAACTGTATCAACTGTGTTGTTTTAGCACAGGAGAAATTTTTCACAGTACCAAAATATTTGATCAACTCTCAGCAAATAAATATTTACAATTTGTGCTTATTACTTTTATACATTATAGAATCAGGTATAAGATAACAATGAATTCCCATTAAACTTGGAAATTTCTGTCCCAGAATGTTTTATCTTTAGTAACACAGATGACAGAGTTCAATGGGACTTTCCTTATGAACACTGAAATTTGAATTTTATATTTTCTGTCACATTTATTACTATCATTGCTATTATTGTTATTATTATTATTATTATTTTGTTTTTATATACAGTGTTTTGCTGTGTACTTCAGGCTGGTCTCAAACTCCCAGTGATCCTCCTGCCTCAGCATCCTGAGGGCTTGGACACATTATTATAGAGTATTTGTAATTACTTTTTTGGCAAGGGGCAGGGAATACTGGGGATTGAACCCAGGGCCTTTGCACTGAGCTATATTCACAACCCCGTTTTATTTTTTATTGAGACAGGGTCTCAGCAAACTCCTACATTTCCCAGGTTGGGTTTGAACTTGCATTTCTTCTGCTTCAACCTCTCAGATTGCTGGGATTACAGTATGTGCCACCATGCACAGCTACATTACCCTTCTATAAACACTGTTTCTAGCCAGGCATGCTGTGTGCCTAGGACCATTTGGGCTGGGAGTTTGAGACCAGTCTGGGATACAGAGTAAGACCTAATCAAAACCAAGTAATTTTTATACTATAAAGTCTCACACATGGACTGGCATTTAACTCACTGAAATGCTCATACGAATGCTCTATATGCAACTTGGCACCCTTTGCAGTACTACTGAAAAAACTAGCAACATCTATAGCCTAGTTACCAGAATTGTCTCAATATTAATTTCTTAGCTTTTGTAACATGGTTACATAGGATGTTTATTTACAGGGAAGATGGAGGACTTACAGAACTTGCCTCCAGATCTAAAAATATTTCAAAGAAAAATATTTTTTAAAAAGTGTAATAAAAGACTTTAGGATCTTACATTTTAAGTCTTGTCCAATGGAATTTTCCGACAATGGAAATGTTCTGTATCTTTCCTGTCCAATAATGGTAGACAGTAACCACAAGTACTTATTAGGTATTTGAAATACAGCTAGCTTGACTCAGATTTATTTAGTCCTACTGGGATCTATCTTTTATTTAGTGATATTGGGGACTGAACCTAGGGCCTGTGCACTAAGCTATGTCTTTTTAAAATTTTTTGCTTTTTTATAGTACCTTTGAGACAGGGTCTTGCTATGTAATTTGGGCTGGCCTTTAACTCCCTTTCTAGCCCAAGCTGGACTCGAATTTGCAGCAATCCTCCTGCCTCAGTCTCCTGAGTGCTGGGGTTAGAGACATGGACCACCACGATCTGTTTACTGTAACTTTTAAATGATTAAAAAAAATACCTTTTTCTTTTTCTAAGACAGGGTCTCATTATGCAATTTAGGTTGGCCTTGAACTCACAGTGATCCTCCTGCCTCAGCCTCCCCTGTGTTGGGATTATGGGCATGTGTTACCACACCCAGTGAACATAAATGCACACCCAGTGAACAACAAAAAGAAAAAATCATCGTATCTGCCAGGTCTGGCGGCTCATTCCTGTAATCACAGCCCTTGGGAGGTAAGATTGCTGGGAGTAACAATAAAGCAAAACTCGGTCTCAAAAAAACAAAACTAAAAAATTACTACACTACACACATAATGCAACAGTCCATGATTTAACTGACTCCAGCACTCTTGGGTTGGGGATGTAACTCAGTGGTAGAGTTCTTACCTAACATGCGTATGACACTGGGTATGATCGGCGGCACAGAGGGAAGGGGCACAGACAGACAGATGACGTCACATGAGAGTATCTGTCTTTACAGCTCAATCGCAGAGCAAAATATGACAAAGTGACCAACAGCTTTCATCTTACTTGTGTAAAGGAGTACCAGCTAGAAAACAGAAACTCACCTGAGGGACTTGGAATGGGTCTCTGTAATGGTGGTCTAAAACCTGGAGCTTTGGAAGTATCAGACTGATGTAAAGGATCTGAATTTGGCAAATATGAGGATTTTCCTGATAGCATAGATTCTGGAGCTGACTGAGATGAAACAACAGATCCTCCCCAAAAGGCATGAGCAGAAGTAGGGTTGTTTTCAAACAATGTGCTAAAGGGCCCAAATGGTAAAGGGGCACTAAAACTGGGAGCAATAGGCTTATTTGCTGGATGTACTGAATTCTGACAAGCACTTTGTGTACTTAAGGTCGAAGGTAGCTGGACAGAGGAGGGAACACTGTGAGGTCTTTTAATGTGATTGACATTGAGGACTGCAACAGATGAATTCTGCACTGGAGCTGGATTCTTGAGAGGGGCAGCTGTGCCATGAGAGGGTGGTCTAATCGTAGGGGTTTCCATTTTAGGAGGCTGGGAGCATCCCATTTGTGTCTGAGGCATAGGGTAAGTCACTGGGGCAGTAGAAGGCACCGCCGCTGGAGCAGAACTTGTTGCTAAAGGAGGAACAGTCATTCTAACATCCAGGGGAGGAACCTGAGACTGCTGAAGAGGTGGTCTTGGCTCCTGAGAAACTGATCCTGGAGGTTGCTGCTGAGTAGAATGAACTGAGGAACTCCCAGAAGAACTGGTGCTGTTTGGAGGTCGACTGTTTGCTGTTTCTACTACTGGTGGACTACCTGCTTCCTGTTCAGAGGAAGATGCCCCTTTATTTGGAGACGCTGATCCACACTCCAAAGGGCTGTTTCTAGAAACCGCTCCTGGCTGGGCTGGTGGTGATGGGGAAGATGGGGATGATACTGGGTAGTGTTCTTTGGCAGTAGGCATAGGGTATGTGGCATTTGTGGGTGCAGTGCTATTGTTGCTTGCTGTGGTTGTGACTGTTGTGGTGGTGGCATTAGATGTCTTCACAACTGTGACAAAAAGCTGCCTTCTGACAGAAGGTGAACTTGGACTGCCATTTGTAGATGTACCAGGCACCGTTGAAGCTGATGAACTGGTTGTAGTTGTTGGACTTGAAGTTAAAGAACCTGCTGAATTCACCTGAGAACCACTGCTGTTCTGATTGCTATGGCGAGGCACCATGTGAGGCTTAGGCGAGTTTGTAGCTCTGGCAGGGCTCAAAGGCCTGACAGGAAAAGGACCCCAAGTGGATTGAGCTGGTGGAAAAGTACCTCCAAAATGGGTCATGGGCAACCTTGGTGGACGGATCTGCTGGAAAGTCTGAGCAGCAAGCAAAGCGTGTGCAAACTGGGGAGGAGGATACGCTAAGGGAAGAGAAACTGGAAAACCAGGCCTCACATTATTCACTGGGTTCTTAATGGTTTTGTGAGTGGATGCAGAAGAAATTGCAGGCACAGTGAGTGCTGTGGCAGTTTGAGATGTTGATGACAGAGCTACCGTTGTCATTTTAATTCCCATTAAGGAACTGTTAGCAGCAGTGGTGACAGGTGCTGATGACCCTATTTTGGAATTTGCTGAGGAGCTTTTCAAACGATTCTTTGGAATAAGTTCATCAATTTCTTTGTCTGGATCCTTGATCAGGGCATTGATCAACTGAGTTGCTTGTCTTGTTGATTCAGTGCCACCCCTATATGTTGACCAAAACAAACAAACAAAAAAATTAGGCCTAGTATCCCTTACCTTTTAATAATATAAAGCCTACCTTCATTCATGTGCATGTATATATGTACAGATAAATATATACAGTATAAAGACAAAATTTAAGTAGCAATCTTCTGACCATTTTGTAGATAGCCTGCAAACAAAGCTATAAACTGTCCTAAATTAACATTGCATGTATAAGGGGAATAAGTTATTTATTTTCTAAAATTCATTTTAATATTGTTTCCTTAGACTAAGAAATAATTTTCCTATTGTAAAATACATTAGTCAGGAGACCCACTACACATAAAATCATGTAGTAGCTGGGTATGGCACTGTACACATGTAATCCCAGCACTCTGGGAGGCTGAGGCAAGAAGACTGTGAGTTCAAGCCAGCCTGGTAACTTCAAGATTTAGTAAGACTTTTGACTCAAAATTCATAAGGAATGGGGATGCAGCTCAGTATGAAGCCCTGACTTGAATCTCTAGTACTCGAAGAAAGAAAAATAAGAAAATAAGAGCTTATGTAATCAATAATCAACTTAAATTGCTGATCAACACTAACAATACAAGAGGAGATGGAGCTGTACAGCTCAGTGACGGAGTGGTTTCCAACTTGCATGTGCAAGGTTGGCAGGCTCAACACCTAGCACAGCAAAAATAAAAACTTTAAATAATACAAGTACACAAGGAAGACATTACAACTGATTAAAAAAAATTATTTTATCTTAAACTTTGGTATCTGAGATGACAACATTCAACAGTAGTAATCTGTCTATTAGTAAGATAATTATAATTCCCCTAGAAGACATCTCAAAATAAGGAACACTGATAATGCCAACAAATGGCCATAATATCAAACCTTAATGCTGGATTGTCAGGAAAATATTTAAGAACAGCTATGGAGCCAGGCGTGGTGGAATATGCCTGTAATCTCAGCACTCAGGAGGCGGAGGCTGGAGGACTGCCTCAAGTTCATGTCAGCCTGAGCTACATAGTGAGACTCCATCTTCAAAAAATAAAACAAACTGGATGTAGTGACACATGCCTTTAATCCCAGCACTTGAGATACTGACATAGAAGGATCACTGCAAGTTACAGGCCAGCCTAGATTACAAAGTTGAAGGCCAGCCTGAACCACAAAGTGAGACTCTGTCTTTAAAAAAAAAAGAAAATTACATATATATATATATATATATATATATATATATATAAATCACAAAGCTAAAAATGAAGCAGTTAAGGTGGCACAGGCCTGTAATCCCAGCACTAGGGAGGTGGAGGCAGGAGAATTGCCTCAAGGTTGAGGCCAGCTTGGGCTACAAAAGTGAGACCATGTTTCTTAAAAAAAAAAATAAATAAATAAACTCACTGCTTAAAATGTGTTGGAAACCCACTTAAGTCTCCGAACATAAATTTAAGAATGTCATATGGGCCAGGTAAGAAGCACAAGCCCATAACCTCAGCCACTCAGGAGGAAGTTTAAAACTAGTGTGGATAACTTAGCAATATCCTGTCATAAAATAAAGGTAAAACAAAATGGCTGGGAATGTAGTTCCATAGTAGACTGCCTGCCTACCACGCACAGTTCAATCCCCAGCCATACCTACATAAAAAGCACACACATAAAGAGTCATTATGAACGGTGTATGTATAGAAAATATAATCTATTGTTATTACTGTTATATATACACATTTGTACAAAGTGTCTGTTGAACTCTTCAAGTGAATCTGTTTTTGAAGGTAAAAGAAAAATAAAAGCCTATTAAAGTTTTAAACACACTGTAAGACTATCAGCTAGGAGAAAACTGTGAGAGCATCTTCTTGAACATGCATAAAGTTTCCAATTGAAATAAGTACACTAAACATGAAGTTTCACTGAAAGCTCAAATGGCTGTATTTTACTAAGCTACAGTGCAATAAAAAGGAAAAACATAAGGAATAAAATTTTGCCTTATTGTTATTATCCGGTCTCCCGTCTTGTCCTTCTGCTTATCGATATCTATGTGTGCACCAGTGAACTCCCGAATAGCATTGATGTTACAGCCTCCTCTTCCAATCACTCTGGATATCACAGTTGATGGAACAGATACTTTCTTTGATCTGTTTAAAAGTTTCAAATATAAATTAGTAAAATAAGACAAATCATGAAAATCAGTTGTTAACATGAGGGGAAAGGGCATTACTAAAATGTTTTCTATAACCAGAATAAATTACTATTAAGTAAGCCTTTTCTGTCTACTCCCACTGCAAATGAAGAGACAGACAAGCAGACAGGCTTTCCCATGGGTCTCAGCTAAGACCCCATTTCTGGTAAGCACCCTTCGCCTCTCACAGTAAAGCACACACTGTGTAGAGAAGCACCATGCTAATGCAGATGCTGATGGCAGACAGGCCAGGCAAGAGTCTGCCCACATATACTGAGCACAAGACACCAAACAGGAAAACTACAGGACTGCACCATGAGTACTTTACAACCACACTGTGAAGACAGGCTGGTCAAGGATCAAATCTAACCTCAAAGAGCCAAGAAAAGCTTCTTGTAGGCTTTCAGTGTTTTACTCATTCTTTTTACAATTCTCTAATATATAATGACAAGAATAATAATAAATTTTTTTTTTTTTTTCTTTTTGGGATAGGGTCTTTTGCTACGCAATTCAGGCTGGCCTCAAGCTCACTTTGTAGCCCAGGCTGGCCTCGAACTCGCAGCAATCCTCCTGCCTCAGCCTCCCAAGAGCTGGGATTATAGGTGTGCACCACCATGCTTGGCTCTTGCACAAACTTGCCAAATAATGTTTAGTAATGTAATAAAAAAAGAAAACAGGAATTTTTTAAAAAAGCAAAATCTATCTAACACTTGCAAAGCTACATTTTAATTTTAAATACAGAAGTTCTGCAAAGGTAGCTGTTAATTCCTTACAAGTCAGTTAACACTCTAACATGGCATACAGCATGAAGGCTGTGATATGACTCAGGGGCAGTGCCTCCCCTAACATTCACAAACCCTGGAATCAGTCTCAGCACAGCAAAAAAGAAAGGTTCTCAATAAAGACAAGCAGTCAATTACACTTTATGGAACAAGTAAATTTATGTATGTATGTATTTAGTTCTCTTGTTTATTTTTCTTTTTTGACATAGGGTCTCACTATGAAGTTCGGGCTGGCCTTGAACTTGCTTATGTAGCCCAGACTGGCCTCAAAATAATGGCAATCCTCCCGACTCAGCCTCCCTAGTGCTGGAATTACTTTATGTGTTTAAAAAGGCAGATTAAATGGTCCCATTTAATTTTTTATTTTATTTTTTTTTGGTACCAGGAATCAAACTCAGGAGCTCTCGACTGCCAGGCTGGCACTATGCCACTAAATTATATTCCCGGCCCCTAAATGGTCATATTTTAATAAAGGTATATCTCTTTACATGTAAGTTTGACAATTCTCTTCCCCTCAAAGGGCATGATAATCAGCTAGTGATCATTATTCACAGATATTAAAAGTACAAAAGAAATGATACAGAATTAAGAGAATCACTTTACACCTGTAAAAAGAATGCTAATGCTGATTTCAAGCAATTTCAAGAGCGGATACATGGGAATGAGTGCAAGTATGTACAAGTAAAAAAGAGGCAGATAAAGACAGCACAGGAAGTACGGTCCAACATCCAAAGGAAAACTGTACAGTGCACTGGGGTCTTAATAGAAACAAGTGTGGTTTGATGGAGTTCTTCTTTCAAGTAAGTTTTAAAATACATTTTCTAATAAGTTCTTAAAAATAAGGCCATCAAAGGCTTAAAATTAGCTGGGTGTGGTGGTGCATGCCTGTACTCCCAGCACTCGGGAGGCTGAGGCAGGAGGATCTCTGTAAGTTTGAGACCATCCTGGGCTACAAAGTGAGCTGAAGGCCACCCTGAACTGCATAGCCAGACCCTGTCTCAAAGAGAGAGAGAGAGAGAGAGAGAGAGAGAGAGAGACAGACAGACAGACAGACAGACAGACAGACAGACAGAGACAGAGACATAAAAGAGCCTTAAAACTGGGCACATCTTTCTTAATTCTTAATGTATTAACACGTACTTTTTTTCAACTTGAAATATGGCAAGGTTGTATCTGTTGGCTAAATTCCACCTTGTACCATGTGTTAGCAGCCTTGGGAACAGAAGGAGGAATTTAATAGTGAGGTAAAAACAGTTCACTGGGACATAAGAGCACCTAAAAATGAGAAAAATATGCTTGGTGTGGTGGTGCACATCCACAATCCCCAGAAAATGGCAAGCTGAAGCAAGAACACCATAAGTATGAGGACAGCCTGGGCTAAACAGCAACACCCTGTCTTTAAAAAAAAAAAAAAAAAAAAAAAAAAAGGAGGGGGGGAGGGTAGGGGAGGGGACGGGGGAAAAGTAAGAAATGAACCACTCACCTTCTTACAACTTCCTTCCATCCTTCTTCTCTCTTTTGCCCACGCTTGGGACTTGCTACTGTTAACTTCCCATTTGGAGAGGAAAGGGGAGATGGGCCAGATTTTGTGCAAGTAGACAGAGAACTGCTGGTCCCTTCACTGATAGTCTCTGACAATCTAACAGAGAGAAAAGTACATTAAATACAGAATAGATGTAGAATTTTTAAATGGTAAAGGTAATTAATGTATTATATAATTTTATTTTTTCCCTTTGGTTAACTATATCTATTTAATTATAATAGTGAAAAATAGAATATGACCTTAAATAGAAATATGATTTAATATACTTCTATTGAAAGGATAGAGGAAAATGTTTGTTGACAGTTGTAAGAGTTAAATAGTGGATTTCTTTTTTAATAATGTAAACAAATGAGTACCTTATTTTTCACTTTTCCTCCTTGAGACAGGGTCTTACTATGTAGTTCAGGCTGGCTCGAACTCATGGTGATCCTCTTACTTCAGCTCCCCCAACAATGCTGAGATTACAGGCATGCGCCATCACACCTGCCATTTCCTCAGCATTTAGCAAATCACACACAGAGTCAACTTTAAGAAGATACTACACTGAGGACAAATTTAGCTGAGGTGAATCACAATTAGCAACCCCTGTGGCCAGATGTGGTGGCACAAGCCTGGAACTTCAGCACTAGGGAGGCTGAAACAGGAGGACTGCCACAAGTGTGAGGCTAGCCTGGGCTACATGCGAGTTCAAGGTCAGTCTGAACTGCATGACAGTTTGTCTCACAGACAAAACTCTGTGAAATTACAATCAGTACTCTTCATAAGTTAAGTTTAAGAATCAAAAATAAATTACCTATGTAGTAAAAGTAACTTGATTTCTCATTAAAATCTAAAAAAATAGCTTATTTTTCACTTGAAAGTGAACCTTCCTTAGCATAAAAAACACAGTTTTGAAAGTTATTTCACTTGTTTTATGGTAGGTTAGTAAGTGGTGTTTATGACGGCACTATAAAACAGTAAATATAAAAAGTGGAACTAACTTTATTGAAGCCTTGCCAGAAACAGACTTCCTTTCCTCCTTGGGAAACGTGACCAGCACAGACGGTTGCTTCTTGCTGGCCGCAGGGGCAGTGGCCACAGCTGGTGAGTGATTGTCGCTCTTCAGGCTGCTGTTGCTGTTACTGCTCTCATCACTGCAGCTGGAGATCCTCATGTTGTCACTGTCGCCACTCTCACTAGTGCTGCTGCTCTTGGACTCTCCGTTCACCTTCTCTGGCTGACTATATGAAATTGGTAGTGGATCATCAAATATAATCTGAACGTTTTCTGTGGTAATTTTATTTTTCCTGTTTTTCCTCTTTGAACTGGTTGTAGTTATGGTATTATTTCTTTTACCATGGGAACCTGCCAGAGTTGTCCAGGTTGCAGATATACCTATGGTTGTAGTGGTTGTGGCACTTGGAGGCTCTGTCAAGACTTCGGGCTCTTCTGTAAAAGTAGCAATCTTAATTAGCAAATCCTAGTCAGCTTTAAGCACTTGACAAGAAACAAACAAAACAAAAATAACCCTCCAGAATTCATGGACAATGAGGTAGATACAAACTGATTTGTATCACCAGGAACTATTAAAAGTATAACAGGTAAAGAGTATTTTGAGGACAATTTGGGAAATATCAGCATGTGCCCTGTATTATGCATTATTAAATCTCCTATGTAAAATAATTCTTTTTCTGAGAAATATACACTCAAGTATAAATAGGTGAATTCAAACAGTGTATCCAGCTTACAGGCACACTGCTCCAAGAAAAGAGAACACAGATAAAACACATGCAGCAAAATGTTTTAAGGATCTATTTGACAGCTGTGTGGTGGTGTACACCTGTAATCCTAGTACTTGTAAGGCTGAGGCAGGAGGATCACCAAAAGTTTGAGGCCAGCCTAAAGTATATTTTGTTTCTTCTAACCCTGTGTCAACAAAAAAAAAAAAAAAAAAAAAAAAAAAAAAAGGGAAACCAGGGGTGGTGGTGTACACCTGTGTCCCAGGTACCCTGAAGAATGAGGGGAACAGGGTCACTTGCCCACAGGAGTTAGAGATGAGCCTGGGCAGAATAAGAACAGCACAGCTCTACATGTAAGGAAGTATTGAGTGGATAAATAACCCAAATAAAATGCTGGAGGAAGGAAAAAAGCACGTAATATCTTAAGGGTTCAGTAACTTAAAGCTCTGTTAAGTGACTGAAACTTAAGTAAATACAATTTCTACTAGAATGTATTACATGCTACAAATTAGATGCCTGTTTACAGAAAATACCTTCAGCTTTAAGCTTTTCTTTTTCTTGAGCAGCTTGGAGTTCGAAGTTCTCTTTATTTTTAGCTTCAATTTCTTCTAATTTTCTTCGTTGCTCTTCCTTTTTCTTTCTTCTCTTCTCTTTTCTCTTTTCTCTTTTGGCAGCCAACGCCAGCCTCCGGCTTTCTTCTCTTAACTGTTAAAACAAATGAAACAGAAAACAGACATGTAAGGTGAGGCTGGAGCAGGAGGCTCTCAAGTTCCACCACCATGTGGGGAACTTAGCACAGACCTCTGTACCAAAATAAAAAAAAGACTGAGGATGTAGCTGAGCGTGAAAGCCCTAAGTTTCATCCCTAGCACTGGGGAAAAAAACAAAAACACAAATGTAACACTGGAATTTTTTTTGTTTTGTATTTTTGAGACAGGCTCTTGCTGAATAGTTCAGTCAGCTCCTGAACTAACTATATAGCCCAGGCTGGCCTCAAACTTGTGACAATCCTCTTGTCTCAGCCTCCCGAGTGCTGGAATTACAGGTGTGCACCTTAAGGCCCGGCTGTAACACTGGAATTTACTGTGCAGAAAAAGTTGTCACATAATGTCATTTTTATTATGTGGACCAGAACATTATAACATACTAAGGTATCTAACTCAATTCATTGTTTTAGATCATACTCAAACCTCTCTAAAGAGACAGTAATATTTTTTAAATAGGAAGATCAGATCAAAGACTTTTTGGAGACAGGGTCTTGCTATGTAGTCCAGGGTGGCCTTAAACTAATGCGAATCCTCCTGTCTCAGCCTCCCAAGTGCTGGGATTACAGGCATGTACCACCATGCCAGGCTCTACAGATAAAAAGATATTTTAATATGGGTGAATGATAAACAGATACATACTGTAGCTCTATAATCACTGTATTCTATTGTATTGTAGCTCTATGATCTATAATCAAGTAACACAGGTACAGTTTTTGTTCATTAATTTAGCAAAATTAAAGACATCACAGAAAGAATGGACATCACATATTAGCAAAAGTTGGAAAAAATTAGTTCTATACTTTTATGAGTAAAATTACTGGCATTTTAGGAAATTTTAAAGCCTCCAATAAAAAACTATGAACTGCTTATCCTAAGAAGTCATTCTATAAAATGGTGATCTAATTGGGGAGTTGCTAAACTGATTATAATAGTGGTAAATGGAAATAAAGTAGTGATTAATGGGAGGGGATGGACAAATCACCAACAGTGTGCACTTACAGAGTACTCAGCAGTATTTTAAAGGATTATAAACAAGTACATGAGAATTGTTCACAGTTTAACATTTGTTTGGGGGTTGAGAAGGCATACAGTATACTAGTAATCTAATTTACAGAGGAAGGGAACCTTTTAATGGTGTCAATTTGTAGAAGTATAAGGGAAAGTCTCAGAAGTTAAAATGAAAGACTTTTTTTTGGTAGTTAAGGACTAACCCAGGGCCTCATGCATGCTACCAAGCATTTTATCACTGAACAATACTCTCAACCCTTTTTAAGTTGTATTTTGAGACAGTCACCCTAAATTGAACATGCTAGCCTGAAACATGTGATCTCCAAGTAGCTGGGATTACCAAACCCAGCTACAAATAAAAAGACTATAATTACTGCTTCTGGGGTGGAGAGGCAGGCAAGATGGTGATCTTCAATTTTACTTTACTTATTAATTACATATTGTTTCTACTGGTTGAAGTGAATACATTAGTTTCAGAGTTAAAAAAATTAAGAATATATTTAAAAGTTCAATAACATCTCAAAAGAAGCTACATATGTATATTTCTGAGACAGTCTCACTGTGTAGTTCAGAGTGGCCTTGAACTCACTATGTAGTCCAATAACATCTCAAAAGAAGCTACGTATGTATATTTCTGAGACAGTCTCACTGTGTATTTCAGGGTGGCCTTGAACTAGAGCCTCACCTTGCTCAGTGCTGTGATTACAGATATGCATCACCACATCAGGCACACGAAAAAGTCTGGCTTCCTTTTTCAAGACTTTTGCTAGACACTCTGTCCTGCCTTTTCAAATTATCCTTTTGTTACCGGGTGCCTAAAAAAGGTCTGGCTCACCTGGGACACTGTTGAAGCCTGAAGGAATGTACTACAATTAGAGTAACCCCAGTTCCTGGAAAGGGTAGCCTGGTGAAGAGACTGGAAGACTGGCACTGTCTAGGGCAGGTTGACTAAAGGGAAAGAATTTATCTGACATTAAGGGTACAAACCATGTTTGTACAGTATCCCGCAGAAATCTGTTGGTCCCCCTGAACAACACAAGCTCCAGTAGGATTCAGAAGGAAGGGTGGGACAGGGACTGACCTTTCCCCAGTACCTCCCAGTAGGAATGGAGTCCCTGCCCACTGGTGAGTCGGAAAGAAGAAACTGCACACTGTGCGCTTAGCTCAGTCTAACCCAGGAGTGAAGCGCCTGTCCTCAGAAAATATGTTTCCTCTGCCCAAGCTCCAGTGAGGTGCTCTGTTTTTCCTGTCTGACTTTATGGTATCAGTAAGTGTGAGGGAGTGTAAGGCTGTGCACAAACCACCACTATCAAAGCAAAGCCACCATGGCTCTACTACATGGTAAGCTTTCCCACTGGGAATTTAGAATGGAACTGGCATTTGCCTGTATCATATCTGTATGGATAGAAATGTCTTGATAAAGGAACAAGAAACATTTAGGGGAAATCAATATTGCAAATGATGTGAGTCTCTTGGTACTGGATTTGTCTACTTGTCCAATGTTAGGAGCTAATTGTATGTAATCTTGAAGGGGAGAAGGCTTTTTTAAAAATAGAAGAATTTGTTGGGTATGGTATAGCTAGGTAGTTGAGTCCCACCACCAGAAAAGCATGAAAGAAAAAAAGACTTTTGTTTTGAGATGAAGTTTCCCTTTGCTGCCCAACCTCAACTTGAAAACCTGGGCTCAAATGATCCTTTTGCCCTAGTCTCCCCAGCGACTGGGACTAAGTAAGGCATGCACCACAATGCCAGGAATTTAAATCACACCAGGGGTTCTAGGAAAGTCGCGAACAGTATGTGTCTTAAGGTGCAGTCTCAGGGCTTCAATATTTCAACCTGTTAGGGGCAGGGGTTGGTCTGTGGCAGTGGTAACTGGAGCTTGGACTATCATATTATATAGTTTAGCCTTTAGCCCTAAATGTAACTAGGAATTTACTTCTGTTTCTGAAGTTTTAGGTTTGTTTTTTTTTTTCCTTGGTGTGTGTGTGTTACTAGCGATTGAAGTCTCGGCACTGCACACACTAGGCAAGCACTCTTCTCAGTGAGTTACAACTCAAGTGTTTTTGGGGTTTTTTTTTTTTGGTGAGACAGGGTTTTTGGGTTTTGTTTTTTTTTTTGTGAGACAGGGTCTTGCTATTATGTAGCTCAGGCCGGCCTCATACTTGTGATCCTTCTGCCTTGGCTTCTGGAGTGCTGGGATGACAGGCACGTGTCACCAGGCCTGGCCATTTTAAATTTCCCATGCTAACCTGACCTCAAATTTTTAATCCCTCATGGCTCAGCTTCCGCCAAACTGGGATTAGAGGTGTGTGTGACCATGCCCATCTTAAGGTTTAAACTTTTAATTTAACGTTTAAGGTTAAAATTTTTAAAGCTGATGTTTTGATAATCTGGTTGACTTACCAGTCTGTTCCTCAGTGAGCCCCAGCCCCAGCCCTGCACTAATTTAACAGTGGACTGAACCCAGGGCCTTCACATCTAGCTCCTCTCCCTCCTGTCCCTTTGAGACAGTGTCTCACTAAATCCCTAAACTGCTCACTCTGGTAACTTTTCTTCCTCTTGTGTCAGCCTCCCAATGTGCTGGGATTATAAATGTGCACCACCATGCAGTGAGCGCAAGCCTGAAATCTCAGCCAGCCTCCGTTACCTAGTGAGTTCAAGACCAGCCCGTATTATATAGTGAGATCCTGTCTCTAATCTGGTTTATTTTACTAACGCTTGGAATTAGTAGTAATTGTAACAGAAATTGAGAGGTTCAAGAAAAACTTTCTTGAGGGAGATCTCAGATTATGACTACAAAGGAATCCAAGTTTATAAGGCATGGAGCTCTCTAAAACCAAAGAGAAGACAGGCATGGTGGTATGCACCTATAACCCCAGCATTCTGAGAGGCTGGCTGGGAATGGAGCTCAAAATCCCCAGGAGAACAATAAATAATAAATAAGCAAATATAAAAAAGTAAAAACCAAGCAACACCCCTCCGATTATTAAAGTACACTTTTAGATATGTCTGGGTGGCTCCAGGAGGCTTGACCTGGGTGCTTGTACAGTATCTGGTCTCCTAGAATTAAGATAAAAGTGTAGCTGGCCCACACCTGTACCAACAATGCTGGAGGCTGAGGCAAGAGACCTTTGGGCCCCAGTTCACAGCTAAGCCATACAACACAGGGAGTCCCTGTGTCTTTAAGAAGGCGATATGGGCTGTGTGTATGCATGGAATGTGGAGAGGCCGCTTAGAGGGACAGCAGAGCCCTGGCCACCATTTTGCGCACTAAGAGGAGGAGGAAGCAGCAGCAGCAGAGGCAGCAGGAGAGAGGTGCTGACAACTGACAGGAGATCCCAGAACAAGCAGATAGATGGGAGCAGAATCCCTGAAGATTGCAGAGTCTACAGGAGCCAGAAAACAAGGTTCAGTCGCACCCACTCCTTCTTGTCCTTCTTGCAGGCCTCTGCCCACAGCACATCTCACTCCTCGGGGAAGCACTACATGTGAGCTCAGGTGGGGCAGGAGGCTCTGAGGAGGAGAGGACTTGGAGACCAATCACTGTGGAGTAAGGTGAAGCACTAACTCAACCTGTCATTAACAACTGAGGGCTCAGGACCTAAATATGTAAAAGCCTTAATATTCCACACACTGTTCTAAGTTAATTTCTGTTTTTAAAATTATGAACAAAAGTTTTATTTTTTTGCAGTGTTGGGGACTGAACCCAGAGTTTTATAAACAAGTGCTCTATCACTTAACTGTATCTTCATTCCCAAGAGTTTTATTTTGATTCATGGTTCCAGATCATGAATCAAGAGTGGGCACATCTGTGGCCTTTTTTGAGGAGAGGGTCATCTTTTTCCTGTTCATTGGTGCAGAGCATAATGTGGTGAGAACAGGGATACTTGTTCTAAGTTACCTGACTACACTAACTCTAATGGATGTAGG